GGAATTTGAAATGTGACTCATCAGCATCACTGTCATCATCCTTAAAAACAGAGAGGAAAGTGACAGTTGCATTCACAGAAAGGCATAAATTAACAAAATGAAATAAGAGTAAATGGTTAGAAAAAGTTGTTTTTTTGTCTAAGAGGAGTCTTCAGACTCAGCATCACTTCAGTTATTGCTGCCTGGGTAAGCTTTGCATTCTTTGCCTCAAAATGGAAAAAAAAACCCAAAACGAAACAAAAAAAAACATTTAAGGCAGGTGTTAAAGCAATATCATTAAAATGTGAAATTCTGATTCACATATTCTCTCTCTCTCACATACACACGCACAAACACAATTAGCTCATCTTTAAATTGTTTAGGGTCAGTTTACATCATTCAAGGTGAAAAAACATTTATGAAGTAAACCCCTTACTAAATAAGAGTTGATATACACAATAATGTGAAATATAACCTGTTTAGGTTAACAATGGCTCCAAGAAAAAACTACTGGCAGGCAATTCTGAACTGCAAAAATATCCATAATATCTGTGCCCATTAGCTGAAGATTTACAACCAAGCTACATGCAACTGTATTTCAAATTAATTATTTATATAACCATCATTAGAACAAAAATGACATTAAATAATATTTATATTTACTGGCCTGTGGTGATCAGACTCTACTGTCCCTGACTTAGATGCTTCGCTGGTTTCAGAAGGTGCCTCCCTATTCTTCATCATCACCCCTCTTGTGACAGTTGTCCAGATATCTTTTCCCTTTAAGAAAGCATTCTTTTTACTAACCAAGTCTTGGTATATCTGACAAAATGGGGGAAAGTGAGATTAGCTTAGAACTTCAAAACAGTTCTTTGAAAACACCATCACTTTGACCAGAATAAGTAACGTCACACCGACTGCTTTTCCTACAAGATCAGCCTGGCTAACACACAAGATTAACTTACAATATTCACAGTTGCCTAATTTATGTTAGCTAACTTTCATATAATCAAGCTAATGTTAACATTAACCACCTATGACTGGCGTCAAGTTCCCATGGCAAGCTAGCCAGCTAGTGTCAGCCAGCTTTAACCAAAGTACTAACGTTAGTACGAAGCTAAAATCGGCTTCTTAATCGAATTTTCCATGCCACCTTAAGTGGTACAGCAGCTACCTTCTGACGCCTTAGCCTCAGGCGCCAGGCTGTAGCTGCTGCACTATTTAAGATGAAATGGAAAATCTGAATAAGAAGTTGGCGAATAAGAAGCCAACTTTGGCCTCGCAAAGTTAGTGATCTAAAATGCACACACCTCCAAACAGTAGCGCTTTGGCTGCAACAGTCCTCTTTGGGTCTTTGCGAGTGGGCCACTTAATTTCTATCCATCCCATCATCACTGTCCAGGTCGGGGCGAGACTTGATTTGTGCAAACTGGTCTGCACTTTGGTCTTTAATAATGGTGGTATTTTTGACTTTGACACTTTTGTCACAGAAATAAAAAATGGTGAACTTGAATTTCCCCATGACCCAGAGTTTGAACCCAACGAGTCTGAAGTTGCAAACGTATGGCTAGTTTTTTGGGCTAAGGGGAAGATGCAGCTCCTGATAGAAGGCTCTGATTGGCTCAAGGAAAAACGCACAGCGTGTTATCGGTCGGACGTCTTCGCGCCCGAACAGTTCAAAATTTTTTGGATTTTTTGCATTTTGCTGGTCAAAGTGAATCTTATATCCATGGCGTCAACCAGAAGCTGCAAGAGACATTTGACTTTAAATGACACAGAACCGACAACACCAAAAACAACTAAATACAGACGACTACAAAACAAACAGGTAAATACAATCATTAAAAACTATTACAATTCTGCACATATTATATAGCTTGCATGCTTTCTGTACATCAAACAAACTCAAATTAGGCTATATTGAATAAGTATTACGTTTTGTTGTTATTTTGTAGTTAATTTTTTTTATGTAATCTCACTGCAGAATCAGAAAAAAGGCAGCCAAAAACTACAAGACATTTATTCACACGTTGTGATGTTCCTTGACAACTGCATACAGAAGAGAAGTTCTTAATGTGGTAAGTTGAGAACAATAAAAGTGTTTAAGATGTTGGTTTTTGTCTCCTTAGTAAATACACATACTCCAGTTTGGGGGGAGTGCCCAGTGAAATTTTAGCACCGTAGATGTCATACTGTAATACAATCTGTAATTAGACCCCACACCAAGCTCCACCACCACCACTGGAAATGGTGGTTTTTGCCCCACTAAAAATTCCATGCTGCTCTGCTTTATGCTGGTCTGCTGCTGGTTTAGAGGGTCAACCAGCATCCAAATCACAACATATGGTGGTTTTGGTGTTGATCAACATAACATCTTCCATTCCTGCTGACCAGCATACAAGCACAACACATATGTGGGTTTTTTTTTTTTGTTTGTTTTTGTTTTTTTGTGACCTATTATCCTGGTCTCTGAGTTTCTTGTAGGATGGGATGATTTCATATTATTTACTGACCTGTCTTAAAGGGGAGTTACACTGATTTTTCAATTTAAATTTCTGCATAATTAAAATAAAGGCATTCAGAGTAGTTTGATGTGAAATGCTCCGCTCTAGAGTCAGAATTATCTACAGTGGTGATAGGAATGTCTGAAGAGTTTAATACCTTTAAAATCCCAGAGTTGTTGCATGTAATGGCTACAAAAGCCTAATGCATGAGACACTGTTTTACGATCGGTTTGATAATGTTTTGACCTAAAATGGATGTTTTATAAACCATTCATGGTGGAGAGGTACATGCAGGGTGTTGTAAGGCAAAGCATTTTCCCATCATCAACATTCCATATAAACTCAGAAGACTCGTGTAGGTTCACTGGTGGTTCTGGATAGTAAATAAAATGTCTATATTTGTGTTGTAGTCATGGCGACCCCTGGTTCCTATCACCACCACTGTAAAGACATCTGAACCATTTCACACCAAACCACTCTGAATCACTCTGATTACGTCTCAGTGATTGTTGAGAATTATGCAGAAATATGCAGAAATTCTCCTGTAACTAACAGGAACACTTGTGCTGTTTTACATGTTTTAGAGACAGTAACACTGAAGATACATTTATTTAATTGCTATAATATTTGTTGACAAACATAGTGGTGCAGCTAATCACCTGGAGGAAACGAAAGAGGAAGACAATGAGGACCACAAGGAGGAGTGGGGACAACAGGGGAGAGGAGTCCAGTTGAGAAAGTAATGAGAAGAATCCAGGAGGTAAGAAAAGTGGAAGAAAAGGGCCAGAGAGGTAGAGAAGAGAAGGAGCAGAAAGGACCCAAGAGAAGAGAGAAGGAGAAGAAAGGACCCAGGAGGAGAGAGAAGGGAAAGAAATGAGCCAGGAGCAAAGAGAAGGAGAAGAAATGACCCAGAAGGAGAGAGAAGGAGAAGAAATGACCCAAGAGGAGAGAGAAGGGGAAGAAATGAGCCAGGAGCAAAGAGAAGGAGAAGAAAAGACCCAGGAGGAGAGAGAAGGAGAAGAAAGGACCCAAGAGGAGAGAGAATGAGGAGAAAGGACCCAGGAGGAGAGAAAAAGGGACAAAAGGAGCCAGGAGGAGAGAGACCTTCCAGGAAGAACTATGCATGAGAATCAACATTTAAACTCAGGTATATCAATATTATGACAAATGATCATTTGTGGACACTTTAGGTAAACTCAGTGTGGCCTTCAGTATTACAGTTAGTATGGACATAACATTTCATATTGCATGTTTCACATGACTATCTAATTATATTCTCCAGCCAAAGACTAAATAAAATCTTTGAGAATATAGGCCTAAACTGTTTTAGTTCTATGGTGTATGAATGTGACCATTTCTTTATTTGTGTTCTAACACAGATGCAGCATGGTGATGACCCAGTGTATCCTGGTGCTTCCCTCACAAAAGGACAGAGCCTGCAGTTGCTCATGTCATATGTACTGAGGCACAACCTGACTGTTAAAGATGTTCAGAAGATGTTGAAGAGCTACACCAAACATTTTCCTGGCTTGGTGCCAGCCACCCTGTATCTTTTTGATAAAGCCTACAGACAATTTGGCCACTATGTGCAACATTTTTATTGCATTAAATGTGAAAGCTACCTTGGACCCAGTGAGAAAACTTCAACATACTGCTCTTCTTGTAAATATGAATTTGACATGAACTATAATCTAAGAGTTGGCTCTTATTTTCTTGTACTTCTTGCTTTTGTGGCAGAGCTCAAATATTTAAAAAGTTCCTGAAAAATATGTTCTTTAATATATAATAAATTTTCCCCGTTATGATTAAAGAACATTGAAATTTGCTTTAAATTAAATATAATATATTTAATATAATACTTAAGTGTTTTCAAAATATATTTTACTATTGTAGTAATAACATTCTCTTTCTAAAAAATACTCTTATGTAAAACGTTTGTATAGTGTTTTGTATGGTGTGGTGTGGTACGTGTTATAAGTAAACTTTGATAAAGTGTGCTTTAAGTGAAGTACTGTGGTATTTATTTTAATACACTTTGCAAAAATATACAGAAGTCTATTTGAAAACAAGTATTTGAGAAGTATATTAGATTAAATTAAACTAAATTTGAACTAAAAATGTACTTCATAGAAAAGTATACTATATTATAATTGTTTAAAAGTGTGATGTATTAATGTATTTTTAACATATTTGAAGTAAGTACATACATTTGCTAGTATATTTACAACATACGTGCAGAGCATGGACTAACTCTACCGTGTTATCGTTGAGGTGCCTTAATTGTTGTTAATGTCATCCAAGGAGTTTTCCATAAGCAGCTACTGCTGAGTGCAGTTCCTGCTGGCCCACTGAATCTTCAGTGGACAAATAATTCTATAACAATGTAGAGCGAAGCAGGTTTGTTGGATCCATGAGCATTGTGTGTTGATATTTATTAACATTTATCTAAATAAACAGAAAAAATCCATAATTTTTCTTCATTTGTATGTTTCAGTGTGACTCAGAGAGAAAGACCAGTCTCACCTGAACCCAGCTGTGTCTCCATGAAGAGTGATCAGTCAATGGACCCTCCATTAAAATTCAGGGAGAAGGACAGTTCTACCGAGCTGAGGTAAAGATAATTATAAGTCAGAATGGTGTACGGCTCTTATGCCGAAAGTGGGGTATACTTATCTTCAGGAGTACAGCCAATGACACTGAGGGTATATCAAACAATTTTAACATTTTAACAAACAATTTTAACAAATATATAATTTGGTAACCCTTTACATGAAGAGTACATGATATGCCATTAAAGGCCCTTACTAATTATCAATTAATCAGAAAGTAAGAAAGTCATTAATCAGGAACAAATGCATATGTTACATATTAACAACCATAAGATTAAATTACTAATGCATGTGCTAATGAATGTTGGTAAAAAAAAAAAATGAAAAATGGTAATAAAGGCTTTCCTCAGAGTCAGAATTTATCAGGCTTCCATGTTAATTAAGCATACAAAAAGAATCTTAGTACACATTGGCAAACTGCTAGAAGTTTGTTATTTCATCCTGTTCATGCAACTTATGATTACCTGTGTCATACTGCAATATCATACTGTTACAACATACATGTAAACTGTTGTTTTTATTTAGTTTACTTACTGAAAATAGGCATTTGATTGAATTAAAGCTGAATTATCTGAACATATGCCACCATTATTATGAAAAATACCACCTTTAGAAAAAAAGTGTTTCCCATTATACATCTGTTATTATATCTAAATTTTTTAATAATGAAAACACACTTTGGAATGAAACTCTTCAACTGTTTCTGCAGGTGGAAATTACAGATATTTTTATTCGCCAGTAGGTGGCAGTAATTGCAATAATTGCTATATGTCAAGCGGCCATAGAGACTTAAGGTAATATCTCTATGAAGCCGTTTAGGAGAAGCGAATGAAAATCATTGAAATAATCATAATAAAAAAAATCTCTTACATGAAAGCATTTTTCTTACATTTGCAGGTGAGTTATGCATACGCGTACTGAATTATATACACAATGTACATCGCGGATATAATGTTTACACATGGTATTGCCTAGTTGTCTGAGTGTAGTGAGTGTTTGCTAGTATGTATTTTTGTGCCTCATATCTTTTTAGACTAACATGTAAAACATGCAGCTGTTCTTGAGTGAAACAGAACAGATTTGCAGATGCTGTTATTTCTGAATTCGTTGTAAAGTAGCTTAAATAATTGGTTTGGTGCTTACTTATTTGCAGTAAACCTCTTTGGTTTTAAGAGTGATAAGGAGTTTGTATGTCTCATGAATGTCATGTGATTCTATTAATATGTGGCATTAGGCATGTCTATTCTGTTTGGTTAAGAATTACATGTTGATTTTATGCTGCTTGGTTCATTTGTTATTCCTCCTTTGACAGGGACTCTTATTCTGAAGGGTTATGTATGCATGGTGGCACGCTTTACAGGGCCTAGTATTAAACAGACTCAGCCGAGACAGCGAGAGGGTGCACTAACTGCGCTTAGCCAAGCAAAAGCATAGCACAATATTCTCCCCTTTTCTTTTGTACGCCGTTCTGAGTTTTTCACTAAAGCTGAGTCATGGATTTGAACTTGTGCGAGTTCTTTGGAAACACCGCACGCTGCAATATAAATATCTTCATAACGTTAGGTAGCAGTCCTGTCCGTTTTACAGATGTTTGTGCCACAACAGAACCAGTATGCACTGGATTCTATTCATTTTCATTTTTTTTATTCCTATGAGTTTTGTCAATGTCCTGTTTTTATATGAGCCATATTGTACTTATCACTCATCACTGTTCTTGTGAGGCGTAACATTGGAGACGTTGAAGGACCTGCCGAGTGTGTCCGATGGGCTGTCTAAATTAGGTGAATATGTCGGAATGTTATCAATGTATGCAATGACAAACACACCAATCATATACGTAAGTACATCATTGATGAATGACTGGAAGACAGAGAGGGTGTTTTGGAAGTCTAATATGGTGACAAACTGAGCACCTCTAAGCTGTTCCAAGGCTACTGGGATAAATGGTAGGGTGTAGGTGAATTTCTTCGTGATTTAAATAAGGGCACGATAACCATTACAAGGGCTTAGTCAGCCCTCTTTCTTTTTTAATAAAGAAAAATCCAGATGCAGCTGGAGAGGTTGAGGGACGAATGAAACCCTGGGCCAGCGCCTCATCAATGTACTCTCCCGTGGCCTTCTCCTCCTCTTGGGTCAAGGGGTAAACTCAGCCAAATCAGAATGTTCAGGGAGGAATGTGACCTGAGAAGTTTCTAGGCTTTCAATGGATGTGGACATGACTTTTAATTCTGGAGTAGCGAGGCAATGGGACTGACAATAATCGGACCATGCAGTGATTTCACGAGTGGGCCAGGAGATCTGGGGGTCTTTGTTGTTTCTGGAGCCATGGGAGACCCAAGATGAGGGAGAATTCAGATGAACCTAACACTTAAATGGATAACTGTTCTTTATGAAGAAAGCTAGCCTCCACTCAAAGAGGCTTGGTGACAAAGGAGATGGGGTCCAGTCCTATGGATCCTCCATCCTGCGCAGTGACTTTCATAGGTGTGCAAAGATCCAATACAGGAATCTGTAGTTAAGCCACCACGTTGGCATGGATGAAGCTTCCCTCTGCTTTTGATTAGAGCTGAAACAACAAGAGAGTACTGATGGTGGTGTATGATAACAGGCAGGAGAACAGACTTCGAAACCAACCACTTTGTGGGAACACTCACCACATTTTAATCCACGCACTTTCCCGGGGTTGGTGCCTGAGGCTTGTGCAGACGAGCCCGACAGTCAAGTAAAATGTGACCAGCTGCACCACAATATGTGCACAGGCGTCCGTATAAACGACAAAGCCTCTACTCTCTGCTTAGCCTAGACGAATCACATTGCATGGGTTCAGGAGCTGATCTGGAACTGGAGCTGGTGCTGGACCTGGAACTGGAACAGAGGTTGGAGCTGGAACTGGAATTGGAACTGGCACCGTGACTAGAACTGGAACGAAGACTGGAGCTGGAGTTGAAACTGGAAGTGGAACAGGAGCTGGAGTTTACATATGTTTGGGGAAAGCTTTTGCAAGGGTTGGTCAAGATGGATTGACAAAACAAATGAGATAGTTAAACTGTCATCCTTGCAAGCTAACTCAGTCAATACCTCAAGATTTAGTCCATTATTAAAAGCTACTAGAAAAGTGGACTCATTCCACCCAATACCTGCAGCCAGAGTGCAAAACTCTAATGAGTAGGCTGCCACTGAGTGATTACCCGGTTTTAACTTGCACAAAGCTCTCCATTAGAATAGCCATCATGAAGAAGGATGAAGGCTGTCTTAAAATCCTTCAAAAACTTCATGAGACAGGTCTTGTAGGTGAGACCACCCAGCCATTACCCACTCTAATGCTTTGTCTGATAGGCATGATATTACAAATGCTTGCCTAATCAGTACTAGACGGGGGTTACTGAAAAATACAGAGCATTGTAGAAGAATATTTGATACCCATTAGGAACTGAGTTAGTTGTATGTGTATGTAGTAATGATTAACCGCTGCTATTTTGTTAGGTTTCAGTAATAAAATACAACTGTTTCATCACTTTACTTTAGGGGGCACAAACATTATGAATTCATCATGAAGAATCAGTATTTAATGAGTAATAAAGTGTGACTGGTTCATCACTTTACTTTAGGAGCATAAACATTATGAACTCATCATGAAGAATCAGTATTTAATCAGTAATAAAGTGTGACTGGTTCATCACTTTACTTTAGGGGGCACAAACATTATGAATTCATCATATCAGTAATCACTGTTTTTTTTATAATGAATTGAGAATTGACTCTGCTTAGTGTTGTATTTTTCTCACTCTGACACACCTCAACCAGCACAACAGGAGCTTGAAAATTAGCAGTTGTGTTTAATCAGGTGTACTAGCACAAACATGTGCATAGAACTAAGAAGTCTTATGACCCCAGGAAAAAGGCACTACACTTTCCCTATTATTAATTAAGCCTTTATTACCTTCATTTTCATTCATTAGTACGTTGTTTAGTAATTTAATATTGTGGTTGTTAATATATAACTTATTCATTTGTTCCTGATTAATGACTCATTACTTTTTGATTAGTTATTCATTATTATGCCTTAATTACTGGCAGATCATGTACCCTTAATGTAAAGTGTGACCATTAATTTCATTAGCTGGCCACACAATTACACAGGTACTTCCCCAGATAGCTTTGCACTTCAGTCACCTGCTGCTGAGAAGAAGAATTTCACTGAAGTTTCTGTAAATGATTCTTTGACTATTGAGTTTAATAAAAATCCACTGACAGATCAATGAACAGTGATATTCTATCTCAGCAAATCACGCTGGTAAAAAACAGTCCAAGAGCAAAGGGTGAGAGGCTACAAACACACAAAAGACCCAGGGTACAAAAATCCAAGACAAAATCCAAAATCAAAAGTGAAAAATGCTAGCCATCAAATGAATCATAGAGGTAAAAAGCTCATGATTGCAATGAGACACTTACAATGCTTCACAAAGAGCAGAGTGAAACAGGTAGAGTAGTTATAGAACAGCTGACGAGAGTAAATTAGAAATGTGTGTGTGTGTGTGTGTGTGTGTGCGCGCGTGTGCGTGTGTGCTGTGGCTGGGGCAACAGTTAGTATTCAGGAGATAAGGCCCTCTGGTGGGCGGGCTGGGAATTGCACATGAAACACGCATTGTGACAACACAACTGAAATGGTTTAGTAAAAGTATCTAATTCTAATATTGGTGATAATTGTGTGTGATAATTGAACCATGGGTACCCAGTTGTACTAAGCCTTTTGTACCGGTTTTCAGATGCAGTTCAGATGCATTCTACTTGCATGTTAAATACAAAACATGGGTTGTGTGCATGGAAAAATGCAGAATGCAGTCCTCTCCCTCATGCACATGAATTTGAAGGAGGGATATGCAAAAGGTGGGAGGATTGTGTAAGTTTCTAGGCATAGATGTTTGAAGAGCAGCTGATTATATACACTTTGTTGCCAAAAGTATTCACTCACCCATCCAAATCATTGAATTCAGGTGTTCCA